GACCTCACCCATCCCCAGTCACACCTTCCCTTCTTCATTATCCCCACACCTGCACTGTATCTTCCCTGAGCAAAACTGTTTAAAGTGAAAAATTATAAATCTGTTATATATATATATTATATCTGTTATATATATTATATATGTGTGGGGGTGTGTGTTTTTCATGTATCATGTTATTGCATACATATACATATGTTATTATACGAGGTCCTTTCACATTATTTACAGTAATCTGTGTGAATTAAGGATTTTTTCAATCTTCATTTTACACATCAGGAAATTAGACTTCAAAGACAACACTACTTTTTTGGGGCTCTGAGCTCATCTGGTAAAACAAGATTTCTCATCTAAATCCAGCTATTTTCTCTTTTATGATTTTTTTAAACTGTTGCGTATTTCAGCTTTCTTCAAGATTAATACCATTAACAAGCATTTTATTATTTATCTTTAGTTTTTATAGTCTAATACAAAATTTCTCTAAAGTTAAAAAATTACAATATATAAAAATACAAGATTATAAACAGAAATATCAAGAAACTATAAAAGAGAATAAAACTATCCCTAAATGCATGAAAAGGCCTTTGTTAAAATGAGAAATGTGTTAACACTGTGACTCTAGATATTTTTAACTACCTTGATTTTTAATTCTTTTTTTTTCTGTCTGAATGTGTGCATGCACATGGTTCATGTGTAAATACAGGCAGCTGCATGCCACTTTGCATGCATGGTGATAACTTTGTGGGTCAAGTACTCTCAACCTTTATGTAATATTTTAAACTACCCAACATGAAAGGGAGTGTCATAATTAGCACAGCTGAAATTATATGGAATTTATGTGAATCTGAAGTTAAACCATAAATAAGATTTGAAAAAAAAAGAATTTATTAAAGAAATAGAAGCGATACATCTGGGAGAAAAGAATGAAAGTGGGATTGTTGGAGGAAGGCAGAGCACACGTGTGCTTTGAAAATCTGATCTGGTAATAGACTACTTTCTATAAAATGCATGTAATCCTTTGACCTGCTTACAGTAATGACATAAGAAGGCCAGTGTGTAGACTAAGGTTCACCTGGGGAGAGTTTTGGGTTGAGGCAGGAATAGCTCTGAACTGCATGATCAGTCAAAGACGAGGAAACAAGAGGAGAGATTTTGAGTGACATCCTCGGCAGAAGGGAAGAAGGGCTCAACACTAAACTTGAGGGCAGCTACTTAATCTAGATATGAAGATGTGAAGGCATCTGTCAAACACACCATCGTATCTCTTTAGCTTAATTGAGTGCTGTTTAGTGATTAAAGGAACAGAACCTGAAAAAAAAAAGAAAAAACAAAAGAAGGGCAGTGTGTTTATTTGAAACAACTTTACATTTACTGTAAATTTTCATGAAATACTGTCCAAGAATTGTTTGTGGAGTCAGGCATGGTGGTGCATGCCTTTAATCTCAGCACTTGGGTGGTGATCTCTGAGAGAGCAAAGCCAGCCTGATCTACACAGTAAGTTTCAGGTCAACTGGTACTACAGGGAGACCTTGTCTCAGAAAAAATTCTCAGCCTCATCACAATGGTAGATACTTTAAAAATTCAAACCTTTGTGTTGTTTCTGTGTACTCTAGTATCTATGAAAAATAAAACTTTTAATTATTACTTTACATATGTTTAATGCAACATATGAGAGACAGTTGAATTCAAACTAGAGTGATTGTAGTAGTGATTTTCCCAAACATGCTTTATTAACTGTAAGAAACTAAATAAGAAGTTGTCCTTGGGCTGTACATCAGCAGAATGGCTATTAGGAAAGACATTTCTCATGGTCATTAACCGCAGTGTGTGAGACAGTTCATAATAATCTCTGAAATAGTGTTAGTTTGGGTTAACAGAGTCAGACAAAAACCCACCTGTAATTTCCAATGAAACTATTCACAGATGTCAGAGCTATTGCTTTCTCAGTGTGTAACTAATTATATAAATGGTGCACAATCTTAGCTTCTAGAGTAGTTAATAGTAGCTGTACATTCTCCCTTTGACCATACACAGCATAGAATCTTTAAGGCTCTCTGCTTAGGTTCCCAGTCTTCTGCTCACCTGGAGGAAAGAGAAGTGCCAAGGGTCAGGACGGTCCAAGCTCATCTCTACCGGAGTGCAGTTCATTTGGGGCAGAAGAGAAGCAAGCAAGCTGGAAAGAGCAAGACGATTCCCTCTGAAGGGACATCAAGTGGTTTATCAACTCTAACAAGTGAACGCACTGTTTCATTTATTTCACAAGTGAGATTAGTTTTCAAGCCTAACAAAGCAAAGGTTCTGTTATACAAATACAGACATATTTTATGTTTAAATTTTCTTCAGTGGGCACAATCATCTCCAAAATTCCACAATAGCGGTTTTTAATATATTAAAAGTGCTATTTTATCAAAATGTTTAAGACTATATACATTTCTCATAATATATTACTTTTTATCTTATTTCAATGTCACTGTATCCTTTTAGTTCTAATTTTCCCCTCATTGTATGATCAGCATTTTAAAATTGATGCACGTTTGGGGCTGGAGAGATGGCTCAGCAGTTAAGAGTACTAACCGCGCTTGTAGAGGACCTGGGTTCAATTTCCAGCACCCACCAAACCTTCCTTAACTCCAGTCCCAGGGGAATCTGAAGCCCTCTTCTGACCTCAGTCTGACCTCAGCGGCATTGCACGACATGGATGCACTCACATGCAGGCAATATACGCTCATACACATAAAATAAAAATAATGAATAAAATATTTTTTTAAAAAATAAAATTGATGTACTTTTAAGAATTATTTGAGGAATGATGACTCTGTTGACAGAGTTGACAGTTTATTCCGGCAACAGTTAAACACTAAGACAACACATCCCATTATGCTGAGCAAAGAGAAACTGTCATCATTTTGTTCCAAAGTGAGATTTAATTTGCAGTATTGCCTTGAATGCTTATTTCTCCTCACCTTTTGGAGAATATTATTTTGATCAGGGTAAGACCCTCAGTGTATAGTTTAAGCAGTTTCCAGCTTTCCTCATTGTGGAGCAGGTACAGAGCCACGGGGTGATGCACTCAGCTTCAGCGGTTAAAATAGCTCAGCACTGATCCCCGTTGTGTCAAATGCCACTGCAGTGAGGAATGCAGCCAGGACTTATGATTGCGAGCAACATATGATTTTGATTACATATTGGCTCAGTAGGTAGTGATTTCAGTGCTTGCTGCGTTAAGATTAATTGAATATCCACTGGTAGCAAGGCAGTTCATGAAAACAATAGGGGTCATGTACGTGTTCTTTCAGTTCTGCTTCAGCACATTGTTAAATAACCTTCAAGGCTGAAGCAGAATCTCCCTCCAAACATTTTCTTTGTCTTATTTGCTTCAAATGTCGACAGGCCCAGCATCTTATTGAGGGTTACATCCCTGTGTATGGTGGCTAAATGGCCTTAAAACCTCTTATGGCCATTCCCTTTGATAACTCTCAGACTTCTAATTTCTCAAAAGCTTTCTAAACTGCAATCCACCCCCGACCCCCATTTCTTTTTAACTAACTAGCTTGTATGGAACTGACTGGGCCTAAAGATGTCATTTATATGCCTGTTGACCCAAAGGAAACGCAGTTTCAGAATGCAAAGGAAAAACAAATGGTAATTAAAGCAATCAGCATCAATACCAGAACTTTATAGAGCAGAGCTCATGCAATAAACACAGGGGTATGATTCTTTCAGAGAGAGGTAGGCAATGGCAAATTACTACAGTTTTACTGGGAAAATAAGAAAATATGTTCTTAGACATTTTAGGGGTTAGAGAGATGGCTCAGGGTTAAGAGCAATGGCTGCTCTTGCAAAGGACTTGGGTTCGGTTCCCAGCACCCTCGTGGTTGCTAACAACTGTTTGTAACTCCATTTCCAGGGCATCCAACACCCTCTTCTGACCTCCATGAGCATTGCAAGACTCACATGGCTGTATTTACATATATGCAAGCAATACACATTAAAAAGTACACATAAAATAAAATAATAAAATATTTTACAAAGAAATTCTATATTAATTGGGTTTATATTTCATATGTAAAAATAGTCAAGGATGTTTAATATAACCCAATGTTGACTGAATATGGAATATGCAGTTTTCTTTTAATATGGTGTATGGTTCCTGCTTTAAACTTACACAAAGCTCTCCCTAAGGCCTAATTGCATATGAAATTAAAATTAAAGGACTATTAATCAAATATCATCACTCTAAATCTGCATAATATGATTTTTTATCTCTTTTTTACCGTGACACATTCCTTGTGACACATTTAGCTGTGAGCTAGCAAATATTATGATTGATATACTTTGCCACTGAGAGTAATGTATAAAAGGAAATGAAATGGTACCAAGGAAGGCTAAAATGTAGACTTGTTTTTGATAAAGTCTTACTTGAGACCCCAAACCAAGAACTTCTTTAGTCTAGTCAACAGGTCAACTTACTGCTTGTTTCAAGGAATTAAGATTGCAGTGAAATAAAATCACCTGTATACTGTGGAATGTGAGAATTAGGATGGTACATAATCTTGAAATAGACTGTGAGAAAAATACTTCTTGAGAAAGGGCATTTTGAACAACCAAAATTTATAAAGCAGAAAGCCATATGGGCATCTGAGGGAAAGTTTTCCAAAAACACAAAACAGGATAGCAAGTGCAAAGACTCTGAAGTGGGATATGTATGTCAGAAAACAGTACGTAGACCAATGCTACTAAAACCAGGGGAAATGAGAAACAGAGAATGATGACTTCAATTTAGTTTTGCCCAAATCTGTATTACTTGTTTGTGAACACCAGAATGAAGCATCGTTCTATTCATACACATTTTCTGAAATGAGGTTCATATTTCCTCATGAAAATTTAGGAGAGAAGATGACATCCAGTCTCTGTGTGAATACGTGTGTGTGTGTGTGTGTGTGTGTGTGTGTGCATGCATGTGTGTGTATACCTGTGTGTGTGTGTGTGTGTTTGAGAGAGAGAGAGAGAGAGAGAGAGAGAGAGAGAGAGAGGAGCAGGAGGAGAAGCAGGAGGGAGCATGTTATCTGTTGGACATCAATGTCCATTCTCACTGGCAAACAGCAAACTGAGATTATTTGAATCTGTGGCTGAAAGAGGCACATTTCTCCCATTATTAGCATTTAATTTCCTTTTCTCAGTTCTGCTGAGTCCACTTTTTCAAATCTGGCTCTCAGTAAAATATCAGTAAACCAATTAATCCATTTCCTTAATGAGAACTCTCTAAAACAAGAATGGATAACTGCGTAGACTTATACTGAACCCATCAATCTTTCATTTGGAGGCGAGAATGCCAATTATCTAAGCAATCTGCTTCATTACTGCCGTATTGGACACTTGCTAAACAAGCCTGCAGCACTATTCAGTTGCACTGGAAAAGTGAGGCACTTGGGGCTGAAATTTGTTGACAGCCTATTACATGCTAGGCTAGGTTAGAAATATACGCATGCCCCCTCATTCTGTGTTCTTCACGGGCCTCTGAGGAATGGGTACTTAGTTTACATTGTAGAAAACTGAGTTTTGAAAGTTGCCAAGTTAGTGAATGATGGAGCCATCAAATGACTCCCCAAAAGATGAAGATTACCATGTGGTGTCATGAGATCTTTAATGGTTGGGCTTCTTTCCAATGTCAGAGTACTGCACAAACATGAAAAAGAAAAAGAATGGATATTTGGACCAGGAAAGGAGTCAGCGTACAGTAAATGAGCCAGTTCCTCGCCTCTCATCTTCTCATTTGTTTGATCCTTCAAATTATAATCTCACGTCCACTTAATGCCACTAAAAAGAATGGCAGTCTTGTCAGCATATTATCACAATCATCCCTAAATATCTATCAAGTGATCATCCTGAATCCAATATGATAGAAATGAAGTAGAGAGGGACAGATCAAAGAGAAAAAATCAACCTGTAGTTTTAGTGCCTGCTGAAATCTCCTGCAAGAATTATCAAATTGTTCAGTCAAATTTTATACAAAGTCTTTAATTTTCTAAGCTTTAGCTTCTATAACTTCCTTGAAAATACCTTTTAATAATTTATTCACTTTTTGAGACAATAATATTATCATTTGATTTTTTCTACTTAAATGACCACCTATTTCACTGGTAAACATTCCATATTATGCTGTTCTTTTCCTGTATATTATACCTCCTCAATTGAAGATAAAAGAATATTTACCAATTTTCTTCTTAAATAGGCTCAGTACAGAACTGGGGAAATAGGCCAGAGCCCCAACCTTAGCTGAGGACCTATTGGCAGCCAATGACTACGGGGAGAGAGAGGTGGTTTTCTTTTATGGGAGAGACACTAAATAGGTTGATTAGGCTTCTGTGAAGGAACTCACACTGAGGGATATTTGGGGTTAGAAACTTAGCTCGATAGCCCTTAACAACCACGACATAATGCATGAAATCCAGTGGGGTGCTATGGAAGGTGCAGATAGGGGAGGGAGTCTAATTATGATTAAGATGTATTGTATGAAATTCTCAAAAAATCGTTTTAAAAAATAGGCTAAGCTATAGTAGCTCTTCAGATGGTAGAGATTTTTTTTTTATTCTGCCTTTTACTTTTAAGTCAGCAGGCTTTAATTACCCACCCCTGAAATAATTGATAAGTGCTGTGAGGCCTTTTAATTAAAAAGTTTAACTGAAGCCTACTTATAGGAAATATGATCCATTTGTCTCACGATGCTCAATGTCACATATTGACATAAATAAAGTCTATACATTATTAGTTTTCCTTGCCTTTGTGAATTAGCCATATGTACTTGAGTAATTAATGTAGCAATAAATTCAAGTCTAGAATCTCTTTCCTTCATCAGATTATGTCTGCCTATAGATATATATTAATGTATAGACATTTATTCAATATCTATCCCACAGAACTGTTAAATATACAAATGTTACCATCTTAGCTGCCCTGCTCAGCAGTGTCTGTCTCGGAAGAGATTTTTTCCATCTCTCTCTCTCTCTCTCTCTCTCTCTCTCTCTCTCTCTCTCATACACACACACACACACACACACACACACACACACACACACACACAAAGACTGTTATAGCTGCAGTGATGACCAGTCACCACAGTCATGAGCTCATATTTTTTGTTGTTGAGTTTCTGTAGTCATTTTATTTTTAATTTTTGAGACAAAGTCTCCTACAGTGTGGGTTGCTTCTAACTTGCTACATAGCTGAGGATGACTTTGAACCCTTCACCTCCTGAGTGCTGGGATTATAGGCCTGGGTTGCCATTCCCTGCTTACTGTTTGCTTTTCTGAGAACAGATCTTGCTGTGTGTGACCCTGTGGTTTAGAGCTTCCTATGTATCCCTGCCTAGCCTTGAATTTATGATCCTTCCATCTCTGCCTCCTGAGTGCTAGGATTACAGACAAGTACCACCACTCCTTACTTGTGATCATTTTTAAATGCAGAGATATCTTCATACTCGGTCTCTGGAGGAAGAATCAAGTGGTTAATACTCTATAGATTAGAATACATTCGTATAAGAGTCTGTGATAATAAAATTAACTGTAAGTTGTAGAGAACGTGTGAAATGTTGGTGTCTGCCTTACCTGCTTTACAGTAACAGCTTTTTACCACTATCCTCATTTTATGAGCGGGGAAACTGAAATACAGAAGGGTGAATTGACTGCCCAAGTTCACACAGGGCTAAGTAGAACTGAGATTTGAACTCAAGCTACCTAATTCCAGCTTGCAATGATTCCACCACACTAGAGGGTGTTCATTGGTTCTGAGCACTTAGGAAAGGCAGCCACCACTTCTGCCTATTCTATTACATATCTGGCAAATGTTCCTTCTATCTAAATGTATTGCTGAACATGTCAAAGTATTCAATTCAGATGGAAATATGCGTTCAAATTGAAGTTTACCCAAGATCTATATAGTAGCTCAAAGAACATAGGAAAAAAAAGCCTGAACTGGTGTACACACCTGTGGAAGCTGATACAGGAGAAGAGTTCAAGGCCAGCCTGAGCTATGTATTGAAACCCTGTTTCAGACACACAAACAAACAAAGTCAAAATGAAGAATAATAAAAGAATGTGGATTTAACTCACTGGTAGAGTGCTTGCCTAAATATGGAAAGAAATCCATCATTTTCAACTTAACTGATTAAATCAAGTCAGGTAATGATTCTCACAAGCTTAAGTTTCTATCACTCTCCGTAGTTCTGTACTTGAACTGTTTTAGCTAGTTTCACTGACTTCTAAGAGTACTGTAAGGGTTAATTTTATATACCACGGGGTGCCCAGATATTTGTGCAAGCACACTCAGAGGTGTTTCTATAGAAGGTGCTTGAATGAGATGAGCATTCAACAGTAGACTGCATCAAGCAGATTGCCCTCCCCGTCTGGGAGAGCTTCATCAGCATCCTGAAGGCATGAATAAAGTGAACCAAATTCTGTGCTTCCTTCGATTTGGAACACCAGCTTCTGCCCCTGCACCTGAACAGAAGCTTTGGCTCTTGCTGTCCCTGTAATCTGCCAGCCTTTGGACTAGAACTGTGCCACCAGCTCTCCTGGTCCTCAGGATTTGGAACAGAACAGAAACCACAGTCCTGGTTTCTATTTTTACTGCCCATGGTAACAGCTCCCTACTATTATCTTAATTTTACAAATGAGGAAATGAAAGCTCTTTGAGCTTCCCACTTGCCAACTGAAGATTTGGATTTTAAATGGTTGCTATACTTGCATGAGCCAGTTCCTTATAATTAATCACCACTCCTTATGGGTTCTATGTCTTTGGTAAACTTTGACTAACGTGTTAATCTAATTTTAGATCTCTTATTGTGCTCTTCTTCATAATTGCTCAGTGTTACAAATCAAGAAGATGAAGATACATTTGAATTCTAGATGAATCACATCTCCTTACAGTTGCAGTTGAATCTATAACCAAATGTTGAGCCTATCACATGGATAGAGAAGGATGGAGTGCTAGGCATGGAATGAGAGTCATGCAGAGCCAGACAAGGTCAAAGGAGAGAAGCAGAGAGGAGGCCCATTGGCAAAATAATGACGAACCGTAACAGCTTTCAGCTGCTGCCATGCCATCCAGACTGAAGAAAGTCTGGAAACATCAGTGCTACAGGAGACACAACCTTGGACCCATACACGGCAAGCGCCAGAAGCAGCCAGGAGGCTGGGGTGATTTTGGCAGCACGGATCGCCATAGATATCACTCAGGTTACTTAGGGAGGTTGCTATGAGACTTTATCACTTAAAAGAGGGATCCAAGCGTCTGTGCAGATGTCATCCTGAATGACTGTGGGAGAAGGTCAGTGAACAGACTTGGGCAAGTGCAGCTGAAAAGTGGCCCCAGACTGGGGTCATTTCCATTGCTGATGTGGTGCATGTGACCAGGTTACTACAGAACTCCCTAAGCACACACTATCGTAAAGGCCAAATTCTTCAGCAGAAGAGCTGAGATTAAAGATACTGGGAGTTGCCTGTGTCGTACCAGCTCGAAGCCACACAGGGTAGTTCATTAAATGTTAATCCATCAGAAGGGACAGCTGCTGACCCAGGCTGCTTTGTTTACTTACTAGAATGTACACCTGAGCGTTTAATGGATGCCTGGGTTGTAATCTTACCGAAAACCCATGTTCCAAATAAATTCATGAGATAAGGAAATGTCTGTGACATACTTTGTAAAAGCAGGCCTCAAAGTTCATCATATTGGTCAAATTTAAATGGTCAGTGCAAGTACATGTTCTAACCCCTACTGGGTAGCCAGCTCAAGAGCAGTAGGCCTCTGCGACTGAAGCCAGGGAAAGCATGCCCTGCCTGGTGGCACATAGTAGCCTCTGCTTATACTAGAAGGTGCAGGGCTTAGCAAGCTATCCAAAGTGCCATAATAAATAGTATCAGAATATTTTCAGCTAATCACAGTCCAGCCTCAATAAAGAAGACTTCCACTCTTTAAAACTATTCTCTTTGAGTCCCTTACCCTTTTGACAAGTAGCTGTAAAAGTATTATTGAAACAATGTATTTATATGTGTGTATATATGAACATATTTGTGGTTATAAGATTTCTCTGTTCCACTATGAGCTTACAGTTTAGATTTTTCTAAGGTCTTTTTTAGTTTCACATTGTTTTAAACATTTATACATGATTACACATTTCAATAACCCACAGCATCAGAAAATGAAAGACTATAATTTTGCCAGACACAATTAATATATTAGATGTCATCAGTAAATATTTTTCCTTTACTGAGATGTCATACATCTTTCTAACATTTTTCTGAAAGAAGGTGCAAGACCACCTACCCTTTTGGGAAAATATGTGCATGTAATCAAGAGACAGAGCACAGAGCTGTTCTTAAATAGAATTAAATCTACTACTCAACTGTAGATCAAAAGCAAAACAAACAAAATAGAGTCTCTGGATGAGTAAAACAATAGAAAGCTAAAAACATGTGATAGTAATAAAATGGATCTGGTAAACGGGCTGACATAGGTGTATCTGGCTTTCCTGTCATTTTGCAGTAGATCTTAAAGGGATTGTTAGATACGCTAAACATGTGGAAAATAGATACTAAAAATATTCTTGCCCCCCCCACCCCATTCACAGTATGAATTAGTTACACTTCAATCCCTGCTCCATTTCAAATGCAAGTGAAGTTTTAGGAAACCAGTCTCGAAAAATTGAAATAATGAATATGAAAGTTACCAAAATCAACAGCTCATTGTGTAGATAGGGATAACTATGGGGGAATACTTGGAGAAACTAAGGAAAGCAATATTTAGAGTTTTATTTATGTTGGAGTGACAGGAAGTATATTCAACAGCCTGAGGAAAATCAGTAAAGAAAATACCCACTAAGAGTAAAGATTTTGCATAACAACAAACCAGCGTGTGGACAAAACATACTGAAGGGGTTGACAGTTTTACATGGCTGTACTTTTGGTATCTTCTCCTCAACACAAAAGTGTTGCTGTATCTGTGTCTAATAAAGGGAGTGCCCCCCAAGACTGTGGTTCTCACCGTTGTGTTCCATCCTCTTCATAAGCATATCATCATGTGTATTTTAAATATGATTTAGCATCTTTAATACTCTAGTCATGACTGTCAGAGAGAGTGGTGAGCCAGGTAGCACAAGGCTCTATAGGAACAGGAACAGCTACCTGCAAAATAAGAACAGAGGGAGCATTACACACAGACCTGGAAAGTAAGTATGTAATGGAAAAGTGAGGCTTCTGCCTCACAATCTAGTGCCAGACCAAAACCAGTTTGTAGTCAGAACACATCATGAGAGTGATGAGAAGCTAACAAACTGACAGTGATCTGACCCTGGTAACGTAATGAACTCCATGAGACACAGATCAGCCAAGTTCCCTTGTAATTGTTGCTGGCTTGCTCTGGGTGATTAGAATCTTTTCATCCATTCAAATTACTTTTCTGAAAACAAACAAACAAACAAACAAACAAACAAACAAAGCTGGTAAGCTAGGCATGGTGGTACACGCCTTTAACCCTAGCATTCAGGAGGCAGAGTCAGGTAGAGCTCTGTGAGTTTGAGGCATACTGGTCTACTTAAGGAGTTCTAGGCCACCACATCATGAGACCCTATCTCAAAAACAGAACAAAACAGAACAAAAACCTGGTGACTGAAAGTGCGATTCTTTCCAACAACTCTTAGTATTTTGAACAGTGTTTAAGCATAGATGATATCAACAAAGTGGTGAGTATGTGAAACCAAGAGGCAAGCACAGAGCCATACACACTTGAGATGGGATGTCTTACTACTACAAGTGGTAAAAATGCATATTAGTATTAACTGTGATGGAACTTGTAGACTGGGTCATTAGTGGACTAAGGGTATGTTGCATCTCTTTAAACGGCTTTGTATTAAAACCAAAACATTGTGGTCCTATCTATTATTTGGCTCAAATGGATCTTTCAATATCTTTTGGCCCCAAAGTTAATGAGATGAATGGGTAGCTGACTAGTCAATGTGAGATGCTAAGAGGCTACAAAGGGGAAGAGACAAGAGGAAGGAGTAAAGGGAAATGCACATGGTAATCACTGACTGGAAACTGTTGATCCCTTCGATTGGGAGTAAAGGTAATTATGAGACCCCATCACATACATCCCTCGTGGATTTTAGAAGGCAGCAGCAACCTTTGCTTTAGGCTTATGAAGAGATTTTTTTAGAGTCCGTTGTGTCAGAATAAGGCAATCAGGGCTGGGATGTGGCTTACCATATTTAAGGCCCAAATTCAATCTCTAGCACTGAAAGAAAG